TTGAAATTGACAATCGCGCTTTGGTAACGAAAGTTCACCATGATTGAACCGTCGTCGAGCTTGGTAATCGAATTGGCATGCGACCAGTCAATCGTGCCAGGAAAGCCTCGTCGAATCCAATACTTCGAAAACGTTTCGTAGCCGATCCGTTCCACTGGCAAGTGGTCAAATGCATCCCACTGCCAAAGAACCTTGCCATCGGGGGTGAATTCGACGGCAAGATCTCCCATCACTTGTTGCGTCTGACGCGGCGCATCGGCGTCTTCTTCACTTGTGTAGTAATCTTCAATTGATCGTTTGGTAGTCGATAGGGCCAGCACATTCCCATTCGGTAGAATATCCGCATCGTGATGGAAGGTTAGGACATCTACCGCCACACCATTTTCTTGCGCTGGACCTTGCGGACGCTGACCAGCGACCCACGATCGGATAACGTTCCCTAGCAAGTCGATTTCCACCAGACGAAAGTCGGCGGTTACGAACAAAATGCTCCCAGTTTCGCGGTAGGTGAAGCCAGCGATCCGGGAATCGGTGTGATAGTACCACACCGGTGTTCCTTCAGCATCGACCATCAACAACATGCCAAAGCTCTCTCCGAAACGCAGTTGCTGCTCATCGGTCAACTGTGCTCCCTGTGGGACTCGTCGCCGCGGATTAAGCAGGCGAAAACCAGGCTCGATATTTTCGGCAAGGTGTGTCGTGGCGACAATCTTTGGGAATAGAGCAGGATCCTCAGGCAGTTTCGACGACCGATAAACTAGTTTTTCGGACGAAAGCTTTTCGCCAGACTCATCGGTGGCGTGAACCGTGATCGTATGCTCGCGATCAGGTCGAAACCCGATCAACGGCAACCCCTCGCTTGGTTTCTTTGCCTTGTCGAACGAAAGCTTCCAAGAGTGCTGGCCATCGGTGATTTTAACGAGCGTGCTCACAGGACGACTGACTTGAAATGAAAGTACCGCGGCGAGCGGTGCTGCCTGATTCGAGTTTTGAACCACACTCGGGGCCTTTGTGAACCGAAACGGCTCCGCGTCGGCGGCAGCGACCGTCCCCAGAAGGGATAAGGTAAGCGTTAGGACGAAGAGTATCGACATAAGGGGATACTTGGTAAAAGGCATAATTCTCTCTGTGAGGTGAGGTCAGCGAAATGAGACTTGAATCGGAGGACTTAGACTATCGTGGGCACGATACCGCCATCGCAACGAAGTGAGGCTCCGTTAATGGCAGCAGCTAAGGGACTGGCGACAAAAGCTACTAGGTTGGCGATTTCATCTGGCTTGATCAATCGCTGGATGAGCGAACTGGGACGGTTCTCAGCCATAAATCGTCGTTCGGCTGTTTCAAAAGGATGATCGGGAAATAGGTCACCGACGAACTGCTCGACACCTGGCGTAATCGTCGACCCAGGCATGATCGTATTAACCGTCACCTCGGTTCCCTTGGTCAATTGTGCCAGGCTTCGTGAGATCGCCAGTTGAGCGGTCTTAGTCATCGCATAGTGCGGCATTTCTGGAGAGGGAAGCACGCCTGATTCACTGCTGATGAAAATGACGCGTCCGTGATTCTGGTCGAGCATTTTCTGCAAATAGTGGCGGGACAAGCGTACTCCGCTCATGACATTGACATCGAATATCTTTTGCCAGTCTTCATCTTTCGACTCAAAGAACCTGATCGCCTCGAAAATACCAAGGTTGTTGACAAGGATATCAACCGTCGAAAATTTCTGTATCGTCGCGGCGATGCCATCCGTCGTACCGTTGTCGGCGGCTAGTCCAACCAGCTCGCCTTCGGGCACGACTTGACGTATTTCCTCGATCGCCTTATTAACGCTCGCATCACTGCGGCCATTGATAATCGTTCGAGCGCCCTCCGCGGCCAAACGTTTGGCTATGGCCATGCCTATACCCCCCGTGGAAGCCGTAACGAGTGCGGTCTTGCCGTTTAGTCCTAGGTCCATCTCGCTCGCTCTTAATTGTTTAGCAGTTCATAGCAACACTTACGAAACGTTAGCCACTTCACGCTTCGCCACGCCCTGGATATTCGTTAGTCACGATATATTTGAAACCACCAATCAATTCGTCAATGCTCGGCCGTGTAAATGGCATGGTTTGAATCGATGCCGCGTACAACTCACCATCAGGACGGACGATAAACAGGCCTGGCTCGCTGAAAATCTCAGGCTCACTTGGCTTGATCGCCTTTGAGACGTAAAGGCCCCACTCGCGTGCTTTCTCGATCGTTAGCCCATAACCGATTGGAATGTTGCTGAGATGCCATTCTTGCTTGCTAAGTTTCGCGCGTTCCTCAGAATCGCTGCTAATCGCAATGGCTTTAATGCCCAGGGATGCCAGTTCTTCGATGTTGCGATCAATTGATCCGAGGTATTTGCGACAGATCGGACAGTGATATCCGCGGTAAAAGAAAATGAATGTGAAGTTTGTGGGGTTTTGCTCACTTAGTTTCCAATGGCCTCCCTCGACCAGTGGAACGGTGAGATCGGGTACATTCTGTTGTG